CTGGTCATAATGAGTCGTGAAAAATCTGTTTTTGTTGAGTTTTCTGACTTTCTCTCGTTAAGCTGTGAGCGTTTTACTCGATTTTTGCCTATTAACATAAGATCACCGAGAACATAGATGATGAGTTTTTTTGAGTTGATGTTTTGTCCATAGGTAGGCTTTATAGTCGCTAGAACCTCTCCAAAGTATAAGTCAGAACTAGGAGCCTCTTAAGACCGTCAGTATTGGAGTACAGAAGGTCGATGACTCAGGCGGCCGATTACAAGATTTTTGCAGAAGTTTACCAAATTATCGGACGGAGGAGAGGTTAAGGACTTGTTGGGAATCGGTGAGCAAAAGAACGTATTAAATCTTAGAAATTCGCTGGAGAAAGATAAATATTCTTCAGCGCTGCATGAAGAGAGGGGTACTCTGGTCGCAATGAATGAATCGTTACCAAAATATTCATAGTTTAAAGAAACGTCTAGTTTTAGGCCATGTCTCAATGACCAGGAATTTTCTCTATGGACGGAATTTCTATTCGAAAATGAATCATTCAAGTATCATCGATCCCATGCTCATATGGTAAAAATTGAGTAAGGCACCGATCACTTGACAAGAGAAGACTAGAAAATCAAACTAAGATAGTTTTTTTCTCACTAATAGTCATGATTAATCAAATAGCAATAATTTCAAGTTAAAAGTGATTTGACAGTTGGAAACATTTTCTTGTCATTTCTGTTCCGAAAAATCACGGACCGAATCCATCTCTAGTCTTTATTTGCTTTTATTTTCTTGTCAAGACACTCCCCCCCCCTTGCTCCTCAGAAAAGTCAATTTTTCGAAAAAAACTCGATTTTGAGATTTATACATATTCTGATAGCCCTTGTAATGAACTACAACCTAGCATAATTTGTTTTGCCAAAACATGTACATTGGTCTTTTTTTCTGGCGAATTTCTTTTCTGAGGATGTGCTACTGAGGCAAAAATGGTGTTTCATAATAACTGAGAATACAGTGTTAATGATATTTTCATTCTTTTGGTTGACCGAGAGGGCTGAAATTTTTATGACATATAGAGCTAATCAAGATCTTTTAGTTCTGAAAGTTTCAGCTCTCTAGCTATGACTAACGGTAAAATACATAAGTTTTCGTACTCGATTTTTGTCCCATTTTTTCAGTAAAAATCGAGTACGAAAACTTATGTATTTTACCGTTAGTCATAGCTAGAAAGCCGAAACTTTCAGAACTAAAAGATCTTGATTAGCTCTATATGTCATAAAAATTTCAGCTCTCTCGGTCAACTAAAAGAATGAAAATATCATTAACGAAAGAGTTGATAAAAACATGTGTGACACGAAGTGACATACAGTGGTTTGCAAAAAACCTTGGAACAAACATTTGGCTTATACTAGCGCCTGAGTTAAGCGTCTTGAAAAAAATGTTTCGTTATTTCATAAACAATAGTTCATAGTTTAACAACATCCCGTTCAGTATTGTGTTCTCTCTTCTTTTACTTCAAAAACTTACTTGCATCGTTTTTTTATGCGATTTGCCAAACTAATTACAACTTATTTTTTTATATGAGTTCATTTTTAGTTTGTAAAAAGTCTTGAGTTTACTTGTATCTTTTTTAATTTTCTTTTCTCGACTCTATGTTTCACACATTCCAAATATTCTCGATGGGATTAATATCCGGGTTGTTGAGTAACTAATCTAAAATATGAGAAATAGTAGTGACAACGAGTATTTCTCATATTTTAGTCTGCCGTCAATCAGCACGAATTCGAATGGAACCGAAAATGATTGACATATTATGAAACAATTAAGAGACATTGGTTTTGTGACTTTTCAGCCGATTCATCGATTGCGACTTTTTAATTTCACGTAATGAACTGATCTCGTAATCGACTGTATGTAGTGTCAATCTTATGGTTGTCCATAATTTATCAGTTTGATACTTTAAAGAACTTTGGCACCTGAGCTGTTCCAACTGATAGGTAATTATAGGCAAAGGTGTGTTTGTAGCTCGATGGTTTTTTTCTGGCTGAATGAGTTCCCTTGCTTCAATAATATAATAGAGAAATATACTATTTTTTCGTATTGTTTGACTTTACCACATCGAGGTCTGCTCTAATAACGATAAAACATAAATCGATAAAATAAATGAATATGTTTAGTAGATAACCTACTAAATATAAATCTACGATAACAACAAAAGATGCCCTCCAACAAAGCTAGGAAATACTAAATCTTTGTGTTGACAAATTTTTCCAAGTTTTTTTGCAAACCACTGTATATGTATAAGGAACCAGGACCACAATTTAGGCATGATATGTACCTCTAACCGCATTATGATATATCCCCTACACGCCATCAATAAAGCTTGAGGAATAGTGCGAAAATATTTGGTAGATAAGCAGACTTATTTTGAATAAACACACTTACTACATCAAAAAACTTTGTTTTTCGTCTTTCTCAAAATCAATTTTTTCGAGTATACCGTTTACGCGGGCAAACCTTTCTTAATAATGACTCAATATAAAAGTGATAATTGTTTTTTATTGCATAGAAGACAGGTGGGGTTAGGTCGTAATAGAGTCCGATTTTTGAATTTCTCTTTTGCTGAAATAAAAAACTTAGATATTTCATTTTTATTAGCACTTTTTTGGCCATGAATTTGAAAATTTTTTCGAAAAAGTATTTTTAAAAATGAAATAAAGGGAAATTCAAAAATCGGGTCCTATTACGACCTAGCCCTATGGGCACTCTACGATTTAAAAACCATGCCGACATGCTTAGCTAGTATCCTCATGTTGAAAACCTTGCATCGCGTAAAGGGTATTTTTGACCAATGAATTGACTGTAACTCGTGAATGGCTTGCAGATTTTGAGAGATATTTTAACCATAATCTATTCTAGTCAAGACTAGCATTCTCTGAAATTTTGGTTGAAATCGGATGAAAAATAACAAAGTTGCTTTCTGAGGGGGAGGGGACCCTTAAGCAGGTCTGATTATAAAATTAGTACGTACATTTACCACCTATTAATGCCCATTCGGAAATTAAAGATACTCGGTTAAAAATTGAATAAGTCGAGAACGCAAGCAGCTAGCGATCTGCGGTTTTGAGCAATCGAAAGAGGAGACATGGCGGCGCCTTTTCCTCCGATAATGTATAAAGCAAAATCTTTATAAAACTAACTATTTCTGGAAAACTTCGAAAAAATGCATGCAAATGTCTTGTCGTTCCGATGAAATTTTGATTTTGACATATTATTTAGATAGAGGGACTTCAGATCTTTAGTTCAAGACACAATGCGAAGGGTTATGTTCTCACATTCTAAAGCTGAACAAATGAAATCATGTATTTGCTTACTCAAAAAATAGGAAATTGCGTTGATTTTCAACTAAACTTTCTTCTTTTTTTTCAAATTTTCATCGGAATGACAAGACATTTTCATGCATTTTTTCGAATGTTTTCCAGAAATAATTAGTCTTAAAAGGTTTTTGTCTTATACATTATCAGAGAAAAAGACGCCCCCATGTCTCCTCTTTCAATTGCCCAAAACCGCAGATCGCTAGCTGCTTGCGTTCTCGGCTAATTCAATTTTTAACTGAGTATCTTTAATTCCCGAATGGACATTAGTTTGCCAACAAGAAAACAATCTCAACTGACACCCACTGTTTGTCCTCATATTAGATTCACAGATGGGTCTCAGTGACAATAGAGAAATCGTGAAAGGGTGCATCCTCATTGACGTTTGTCGCTGAGTTATGATCATTTTACTAGATTTCGACTCATCTGTAGGTGGTTTTTCAAAAATCAAATGATAGAATTTTGTCTATAAATAAATCTAATGACTCCAAGAGTATCCTGAAAGTTGTAGCAGGAAAGAATATTTCTTTGTGAAGTACCTAAACATTAATCAAAAATTCGAGAAATCGATTATAACTCGACGCCATACCCCAGTCGGAACGAAGACTATTAGGCTTTCGCTATTCTTACTGAGACCTGCCTGTGGGTCCCAGATGATATCAAAATGGGGGGGGGGGGGGGGGAGGCGGCTGGTGTGTGTGTTGTCAAAATTTGAGTGTTATTTCTCTACATAA